TATCCTTTCCTGTTCACAGCAATATCAAGATTCAAATGAACCGTTATAATTTATGAGAAAATAAGTTAAAAACTATTTTATATAGTAAAATGTAAAAGTAAGCTCCATTTCTTTTTGTAATTAACGAATAAAATTAAATTTCATAATATTTTATTTATTTATTGATGGATATTTGAAACATTTTTTTTCACACAGTCATTAAATTTTAATTATTATAGTTTTAAAAAAAATTGTCCTCTGCAAAGATGTACTTATCTGTTACACGTCAGAGATTCAAAGTAAAGTACATTGGATATAACAGAGCAGAAAAGCAAAGATGGTGGTATAAAGATTAAACAAAGACGATAGAAAAGAAGGCTAAGACGGAGTCTATTTTGCAATCAAACCCCTTCTTACTTCTCTGTTTATGTATGTCTGCATATCTTTTCTTTCACAGAACAAACCCCACAATCCGCATGATCATCATCATGATGGCGATGTCCTTCTCTCTCTTTTCTCCTTACACTCTTCCCATCCATTCTTTCGTCTTTTCCTCTTTCTTTCTTCCACAAAAAATCACCCACTTCTAATCAGACAAAAACAACACTTCTTATAACTCCATCCATTTCTACAAAAATTTTCACCATAACAAACCAACACCTTCCTAACTGCCCTTCTATATCTGTCCTTTGCACCCTTTACTCATTTTCACTGCCATAATCACTTTTCCTATAATCCTGCAACCGAAAGAGGAACAAAGAAGAAACTTCTGTATCTTCACGGGTATGTTCTGTTTATTTTTATTTTTTTTTATATATAATCTTAACCGTTTTGACTTATGGGGTTCGTTTTCATTTGCAATCAGGTGCTGTATAGTTATAGCCTGAGCTGTGCCCCATTTCATAGGCAACTTTTTCTCCTTCGTTATCCCTTTTTCTTCTTCTTTCTGTTAAAAAGTGATGGAAAGGGAAGAAATTCCTGAGTTGGTAAGGATTTCTTTTACGGGTTTTCTCTCTTTAAGACTGTTCCATTGAAAATTTGGGTCTTCGGGTTCTTCGATTTTCGGTCATCACACTCCTCCGTAATTCTTAATCCTTGTAGCTTTGTTGACATGGGTTTCGCTTTTGTAGAATTCGGGTGATTCTTCTTCTCGCGAGGCTTTGGAATCCGAACAGAAGAACATGGGTACCCAGAGAATCTCTGTTTCAGATCACATAAACGCGTTTCAGTATTCAGCTGACGAAGCTGATAGCTTTGTGATTGACATGGATTCCTTCTCTTCCGCCGTCAACAAAGATAGCATCAATACTAATTCAAGAATTACAGTAAGATCCTTTTATGTTCTGTTTTAAATTGTATTTTACCACTTATATTTACTTTCTATTAATTATTTGGCACATATTGCAACCAAAACAGGATCGGTGGTGTTTTGTTCTTCTTGCAATTAGTACAATGTAGACTAATAATTGGGGCATTAATGAAAGTGAGAAGGAGAACACACACGTTATCGACTGTTGTTAAGCCTTTGCGGCCATTGAAATCGAATGTCTTTCTCAAGCTCTATTATTATTATTAATTCTCCGCCCCTCAATTCCCTCACCTTAACTATAAAATTAAGTTCAAGAAACGTTGAAATTTTGATGAAGCTATTTAATACTATCATTAAAGTTTCACCTTTATGTATCCCTTACTTAACTCACCACCCGGAGTTGACTTGTTCAGTTATTCAATATTGGCTATTAAACTCAATATTTTTTCACGTCATTGATTGATTGATTTCAACGGTACAGTTGCAGCGGAACCTTTCCAGAAAAGGATCTCAGCGTGGGGGCGACAGGAAGGTGAATGGCAATGTTACACTTCATGATAGGGATACTGTTCCAACTACATGCTCACCAAAAGGTACCATACACCATTGTCTTTGCGAAAAATTGTGAACTCGTTAATTGTATTATTCTAATCTAAACTATAGTATAGTATGTTTTGTTTTGTTTAGAATTAGATCTTCATTTGAGTCTCTTCATGTGCATGGTAATTTGCAGATAAGTATATAAAAAATATATACCACATAAAGAACATATGAGAGGATCCACATATCTTTTTGTATTTTTCTTACTATCCTGGACCGAATGATTCGCCAACTCGAGATTTGTCTTCCTGTGTGTCGTGTTGAAGATAATTTTAATAAAACTACAAACAGTCGCTTTTGTTTCTATTTTTTACAATTATGGAACTTGGGTTCATGGATATGCTTATTTGTGGACACGGGTGACAAAATTAGAGGTATCATTTAAATATTTCAGCACCAACCTGTACCTGTGATGCCAAAGTGTTTGTCCCCTGATTTTTAGGTCTTATTGCTGTATAACTCTGTCTGTTATGAATATACTATTGTTGTGAGTATCATAATCTCAGATCCAATGTAATTTAGCTTTCGGAATATAATGACATCAACATGATTAAAAGTCACACTGGGATTGCGTCCATAAAAAATTATGATGGCGGTGAAATTAGTTCGGCCTAGTCCCTGGTAGGTGGAGATTAGTTCGGGTGAAAAACAGGAAACCTACTATGAGAACATGTCAATTAATTAAAGCTCAATGAAATAGAATTCTGGGTCAACCATGTGTATTTCTACAGACATTACAGATCATGAGATTGATATTAATATTAATATCTTGTTGGTAACCCATTCTTGGGGCCACAGGTATTGTCATTATCAGAAATTGAGACAATATTGTGATGTGGGTTTTATGGAACTGCAGCTGCTCTAGCAGGATCCTGCAGGGCTGAAAAGTCAGCGACGGTAGCAGTAGGGTCCACGCAACATTCCACAAACACACAGGTTCATCATCAGATTACTATTACTGCCAGTAACATGTGCACCACCAACACCGAAAGCAAAAGTGTAACCAGAAGAAATAGTTTTAAACGACCTTCTTCTTGGCTCCTTGATCCTAGAAGAGTTCTTATTTTCTTCGCCACCTTGTAAGATTCAGCTCTTATTAGCTTCGGTACTCGTATTCTGTTCTGTCCACCCTATGTTATGTGTCTTAATTTCTCAGCTCTGAAACAGGTCAAGCATGGGAACAATGTTGCTAATATACTTCACTCTTACTATCAGCAAGCAAAGTGCAGATGAATAAGGGGGTTGAAAGCAGTTAGTTATGCCACTGATATAAATGGGACAAATGAAATGATGGGTTGTGTAAAATCTAGATCCTAGGATTGGAGCAAAACTCAGGAACAAGAATTTTGAAGACAAATTTGTAAGACTTTCAATAGGCAACTAAAATTTCCACCACCTTGACGTCAGAATCAGTTACCTGTGGGGGGCTACGAAAGGCAAATTCAATGACATACTGCACTATGATAAAGGGGGAGGAATATTTTTTTGTGTGAATGGATTACAGCAACAGATAAAGATCACATGTAAGAGAGTGCTCTATAGTTTATTTGGAGTCTCATCAAAGGGCATAGCGGTGTTGGGGATCAGAAAGTCCCTCTTTGCTCTTTCTACTCCGTCCTTATTTTTATTCCCTGTATCTTTTGTTTAGATCATGTAATGGCAAGTGAAACTTTTTCTAATGTGTGTAACTTCAATGTTTACAGTGGGAAAAAGGTAGGGGAAAGTAAACCAAAACCCATAAGAGCTACTTACCTACAAGCTACAAAAGTAGGCACAAACGGCATGCGTGCTAAAAGACGTTTTTTTTCTGTCTGGATGAAACTGTAATCCACGAGTGCCTTTTGTAGGGCCAAAGAATGTCTATATATTAGGAAACCTTTCGGAATAAACTGTGTATGGAAGATTAAGATTAATTTAGTAAGTTTTTGTCTGTTGAGTACAGTGGTCTATATAAAATGTAGCATGTCAAAGTTGGATCCTTTTCCTTAATAACCGTATTAAGATAAATGTTTTCATTGGCACAAGATATAAACAGCAATGCGAGTTTTCGATTGCGGACTTGAGGACCACCCTCAATTACTGTAAGTGTTAAAAATTTGTCCTCAACCATATTAAGAGATCAGATGGACATGAGCTAACAATTATTCTAAGGTTGCAGCAAAACTGTTAATCCGTAATCCCAGTTAGGTGAACAAACATTAGCAACCCAACCAACAAAATTTGTGAGTTATTGAATTTCACAATGGGAAAGAAAAACAAACAAACCCCTTGCTATCCACCTGCTCATGCTTTTGTGCCCGTAGGCAAGTTTGGTACACCAGCAAGTTTACATAAATAAGGTAAATGACATTAGTTGCTTGGAATGTAAGATTTTAACATGTTTAGTATGTCATGTATTTTTTCTAAAAGTGTTGCCAACCAAACTACCATAAAATATTAAACTCCACCAGATATTTTGGAAAGAAAATCGATGGCTTACATACCAATAAATATTCCCAGCATATATCAGTAAGTGCAACTAAGATCCAACAAGATAATAAAGCCAACAGTCATGGAGGGATACTTCACTATTTTGGTGGAAACAGAACTTCCTTTCCCTTGAAGGAAAAGAGCATTCTACTTACTCATTATGCTCCATGAGAATTTTCGCAAAAGGAGAAGTCGCCAGCACTCACTAAAATTTTTTAAAGCAGTTTTGCAATTCATCAGTAGGTTCACCAGACACGTTCAACTCTTTCTCAGAATCGAATTACTTGTGATACAAGCAGTTGATGGTTGCATTTCACTATATACCTGTAATGATATCTAAGACGAATCTGCTGATTGCCTTTCAAAAAAAGCCATACCTGCTGCTAGTTAGAAAAAGAATACCCCAAAAAGTAAGTGGCATATAAAATTTAGATTTAATTCCTTTAATTATAAAAATTTAATTTTTATTACTGTAGCTAAACACATCATATATATATATATATATATATATATATATATATATATATATATATATTATTTTAATCTCTTTTAGTTATTTTATATATCATTTTAAATGTTTTTTAGTTCATACCATCTAAATTTATAGAGTAAAAGAAATTAAAATCGTACGTATTGTATGAGTACTAAAAAATAATGTAGGGACTAAAAAATAATGTTTATTCAATTATAGCGATTAATCGATTAATTAACCTGAAATTTATGAGTATTCAGTAAATTCTACTATATAGCACTATACGAATTTGGTACTTTACAGTCTGTAGTTCAACGTGGGAAAAACATGTCATCTCTAATAGCGTTTTGAGATCCTTGACATGGTGCACTTGTTCTTCCTGTCATGGTACAGCCTCAACAGAACAGCAGCAGTCTCTTCTATGGCTTTTCCAGTGACATCTGTGAATAGATAGCAAAATAAGACGTCACAAGCATTTGTCTGAAAAGCTAACATTTTCCAACCCCTACATGAATTAATGTAACATCACAGATGACAGAAATGAAGACTTGAGAAGAATAAATTCGTTACCGATGACTGGCCAAAGAGGGTTCTGAGCAAAGAGCCTTCCAGCGAATTCAAGTTCCTCCCTAACATAACTCATCTCCGAATAAATACTCCTACCATCTGAACTTAATCCCATGGTTTTAGTCCTTGCACTTCTAATATTCTGCAAGACAAGAGGGTTTATAGTCAAGCCAAAAACCTTCTGTGGATCCACCTCAAACAGAGTCCTTGGCATCGCCACACCCAAAACAATGGGCACATTGGCTACCCTGTACCCCTTCTGAGCCAGATAGATGGACAAGGGCGTCTTGCCGGTGCGGGAAACGCCGGTGAGAAGAATGTCAGCCTTGGCCAGATTCTGGGGAGATGCCCCATCGTCTTGCTTGATGGTGAACTCAACAGCTTCAATCCTACGAAAGTAATCATCAGATAGGGGAAGGCCAGAAGCCCCACGAGGAAGGCCAGAGGGAGAAACACCCAAATGAGAAGCAATGGCCTCTGTGATGGGTCCCAAGACATCAGTGGAAGGCACACCCCATAACTTACATGCCTGCTTTGCAGCCATAGCCAATTGTTGATCAGCCAAAGTATACACAAGCAAAGCACCTTCCTTAGCTGCTTGCTTTGTGATCTCCAACAACTTCTCCGTGTCATCAATCTTAACCACAACATCAACAACAAAATTTATATTCTAAAAATAACTACACAAACTGTAAATCATGTACAACATCAGTCACAATTATAATTATTGACATGATTCTTCACTATGTGTGTAAATGTAAATGCAAAAATTAAAGTCATACTATGAAACGATTAAAATTAGTAAAGCAAATACTTTTATAAGATGTTTGCATTTACTTACCCCAGAAAACAAATGGGTACTGACGGGGCAGCCACGGTCGACCAAACAGTAATCGAACTGACCCAAAGCGGCGTTAACGCAATGTTCAGCTGTCCAGCCGGTTCCGTCGGAGACCATGTAGATGGACTTGATGGTCATGACATCTGCGCCGTCCAAATTAGCGGCGTCGTCTGGGTCCACCGGAAGAGGAAATTGACTTAGAGGAGTGTTGGGTTCCGGTGGTTGGGTTCGGAGACTGGAACGGTCCAATTTCTTCCCAGACCGTAAGGCTCGGGCTCTGGACCATCGGGTCAGCTGAGGGCTCCCCTTGGGTCTCCCTGAAACGGCCTTCGACCCGGTTTGGTCGTTTTGCGTGCACGCTACGATTTGAGGAACAGAGGGACATAACCGGGAAATTGGCATGGCTTACAAAGTGCTTCCGTTTTCTTCTTTCTCCTTGGCTGGGGAAAGATCAGGATAACGAAAACATTGTCAAATACCAACAATTGATTTTTTTTAGAGAAAGACGTTTGATTACCATTATTATATCGGGCTATACTTATTTTCGTAACCTACTATTTTACTTTGATAGTTTTATTAGCCAAATTTTATTTTGTTTTCATTTTATGTAACTCAGATCAACAATCTTATTAACATCAATTCTCTCTATCTTTGAAATTCGGAGCTTTGTGCAGTTTGTTTCGCTTCACATTCTTGCTTGATGAAGAGTCGTGTCAGATTCCTGAGCACCGCCACAAAATTTTCTTACTATTCTGGTCGCCCATAAAACCTTCTTGTGGGTTCTCGTTTTGGCCCAAAATTTATTATCAGTTCTGTCCCTGAGACGGATTGGTATTTTAACAGCATTCCTTTCTTTATGCACCCCTATTTCAAACAATCCTCTTATGAAACAACCACCACTAAAAAGGGAGCCTAAATAAAACCTTTTTATTATTAAATTTACAGAGTTTTATTATGATGACGAAAGCCTTTCTTATATCGTATTTATTAGATTTTAAAATAAGAAACATGACAAATCATGTGAGCAAATGTTACATAGCGAGTTTAAAAATCAATAGAAAACAAAATCAGTGCAAAATGGCAGTGGTTTGTGAGTGTTTCATAAATAGCTTTTATAGTTTCTCTTTCAGTGAAAAATATACTTAGTTTTTCCATCATCAAAGAAATTAATAGCATATTAGGTCACTAATTAATTGCAAATTACAACATTCCTTCATATGAATATAACATTTGTCTGTATAAGGTCATATATGGCTTTCCATAGACATAATTGTCTCTCACTCATGCTTAACTATATATGGAACACACCCAAATCATAATTCTTGGCCTTAACTTATTTTTACAAGGATTTAGACAGTTTTTATTTTTTAAAAGACTAGTCTTGGTAAGAAAATTTTATTTTGAAAATTTATGTTATTCATGCTCTCTTTTTTATCTATGCTAGGGCGAACGCCTCTTCACCGTTTGTCATCTCGTTTCTAAAAATAGTTCAATTTATTTTATTCCACAAATTTCATACTATGATATGGAATTTTAACAAAGAATTATGATGAAACTTGATATGATATAGGTGGGGCGAGTCTCGAGAGTGTATTTGATGTCCAGAAATGCATAAAAAAAACATTTAAGAATACACGACAATCAATGGTTATATTAACGAATCATATGATTTCAATTCAATAATAATATTTTCTCAAACCACAAACCAAATTTGAAAAATCATTGAAGATTCTAGTAACCATTTATAAAAAGATGTTTTTTTCTTTTATTGAGAAAATTTTAAAACTTGATTACATGGTGATAACAGGTGAATGCTGTAATTTTAGATGTATCTTCTTCGTATACAGACAACTTTGTAAGAGGGTTGAAACACTGAAGTGTTTCATATACAGCACTTTTATCTATGAAAAGAAAAAGAGAGGTGATATTGTTGGTACAAACAAAGTTTTACATAAGATAAAATACGAAATAGACATGAGTTTATAGTATTAAGAGATCTTTCAGTGATATTAAAAACAAATTCATGAAAACTTAATCCAATACAGACAATATTTTATTCGGTGTGGAGATCTATCTATATTGAACCTGTATCCCCTCTACTTATGAGAAACTTCGATAGGCCAATTTTGTAGCCCAACTTCTGAACATCATCTCGAACTTCTTGTCTATATTCCCCAAAGCTAAAGTTCCTGTACTCCGAATTCTCTGTGCAGCTTTCTATCACTGTATCATCAGAGGGGCAAAAGAAATATGCCATAGAGAACCTCTCTAATTTTAGGTTCGTCACAACTCGGTGTTCAAGACTCTTGTAAACTCCATTGCTCCATGCCTGCGTATAACAGATTACCAGAGCTCTAAATTAAGTTAACACAAATACGATTCACCATAAACATTTTCTGTGAGAAAGCTCTTCTTTAAGAGAAAAGATGTTGTACCTAACAGTATAAAGTTAGTTTTACATTAATCACAAATTAACGTATATGGTACCTGGAACAAGTCGCCGATGATGATTACAAGGGCATCAGGGTTTGGTTTGACTGCAATCCATTTCCAATCTTTCAAGATTTGCAAACCTCCGACGTGATCTTGATGTAAGATGGTGAGGAAAGCCGAATCTGTATGTGGCATTAGTCCGTGAACCTCAGAAGGCAAGGGGCATGGAGGATATCGATTCAATCGAATATAACAAGAGCTGGGCAAACAATTCTCCTGAAAGAAACTACACTTCTGACCCATTTTCTCGGCCAGGATATCAGCTAACGTTTTCGCCAGAATAGAAACTTGAGTAGCAAATTCTTTAATTGTTGAGCTGCAAATATAGAAACACTAATAAACTTGTAACAGTTTCTTATAAATTACATGTTTCTTTGATCACAGACAGTTCATAGTGCGGAGAAAATTTAATTGTTATTATAAATGCGGTTAAACCTTTTGTATTTTCGTAATTTTGAATTATATTTAGAGTTTAATCTTATTTTAAATTAAATTTTATTTAAATTTTAATTAAAAAAATTGTCTTTTTATTTAAATTAAAAAAATTATAATTAAATAAACTATCTGTTTAATCTATTAATTCGTGAGTTGAATGAACTTAAAATTTTTTGAATTCACTAATAAAATTAATTCACTAATGAGTTGAGCATATCTGAATGATCCTTTTTACATATTTTATTTCTTGATTGATGTGTATAATTTTTTGGACAAGATTAACTAATAAAAAGTATTCAGCATATTTTTAAATTCTTTATTATTTATAATAATATACTATTATATATATAATATTTTTTTTCTTCCGTTATAATTAATGATATTAATCTAAACAGTGCTTTCATGTCAAACTTCCCTAAACTCAGTGCATGCATAACAAAATATTTGTATTTGAATAAGTATTAAGAAGAATAAACACGACCCAATCAAAACCACGACATAATAAAAACATGATCATCAAACATCAAAATTAAGGAAAATATTTTTCTTTTTTGATAACATTCTTACATCAAGATAATTTGTAATTAATTCGTTTTGAACGAATAAAATAATAACGCTTAAATTATTATAAAAAAATTGTTAAAAAAAAAAATCATAACATATCATATAGTCCTATGATTAAATAACTAACTTGATTACCTGAAAGTGTTGGATTCGCTGAAACCCAGAATATCAGTTAGAGGAATATGGAATGCTTCAGACCAAGATAACTGCCTAATGCATGTTGCAGTGGGGGCTCCCCAACGGTAGCGATCGGCGGAAAAGTTGAAGAACTTGTTCTCTTTGCTCTTCTTCTCAAAAGGTTGCTTAAATATCTTCTCCCGTTCGACCCTCAAACAACTGAAAACATCATTGGAAATTCCATGATTAATGATCTGAAAGAAACCCAATTCTTGAGAAGCCTTCGCTATCTCAGACTTGCACTCCTCCCTCCTCCCTTCATCACTCTCTGCTAAATGATTCACACTGATCACTGGCAACTCTGTCTTCTCCACCGCCAACAGCTGATCATCATCAAAACCACTCTGTTCGTTGCTGTTTCGGGTCTTGCTCAGGAGCATCTCGTATGCCTCGTGAAGGGGTGGGTCTGAATCCGAGTCCATGCTTTGTCAGCGGTGGCCGAAAGGAGAGAATTTTCAGGATAAATCAGTTGTGTTTCTTCATTCATTTTGATAGATGGAGACAAAAAGGGATAATTAGAGAGAACCAGTAGTTGTAGCTTCCTTTTTTCTGTTCATATTTCGTCTTTGATTGAAAGGTTTCAGAGATAAAGGTACGTAGCTAGTTGCATGTCTTTAAGTTGACACAAGATTGTAGTACGAGTCATTTTCTTATCATCCGCTGCTTTTATTAATTTCTTTGACTTTACATATCCTGGTGTTCAGACCAAACTTCATCATAACTATATTTTAGAATACAATCCCATTTTGCTTACGCCGTCTTAATTAGATCTTAATTTTCAAAACTTGACCATAATTAGACCAAATTTGCGCACATATATATTATTATGACAGAAGAAAACACGGTAGCAATACACTCCGGGAGAAATTAAGAAGATGATTATTAAGAACAAATGAATTTTAAAGAATATGTAAATATGGATCAGTTTAAATACACAAAGAGATAATCATGTTGTTGGAGGAATTAAAATTATAGAGGCATAGCAGAGAAACGTGGCTCACACATATAAGGAGACTAGCCAGGAACAATGAGCAATCAGATTTGCTTTCAGCTTTGGAAATTAAAGAGAGTAATTTAGGTAGCTACATTTTCGGACTTGGTGATAATTTATAGGCTACAAGTCCCTCAATTATTATTGCTACTGATAATACCAAGGACATATATGGAAGTTGAAAGATAACAATATTTTGATAAAGTGGTTGTTGATAAATTTTATCGACAAAATTTCGTAATTAATTAACAATTGTTTATGCTCACAAATATGTATGTTAACATTTGTTAATACACATTTATAAGAAATTATGGACAAATTTTGTTTGTTGATATTTATTGATAAAAACTGAGAGTAGATCTTCTTTTCCTCTTTATTTTCTTTCTTTTTTTTCAAATCTCCTCTTCGTCATCTCATCATCGTGTGAACCACTAGCTCTTTTTCTGTCTTATCTACTTTTTTCTTTTCACTTTTTCTACTAGCAACCACACTCTCTTATAATCGTTGTCATCATCGAGCCTTCGTTGTCGCCATTGATTCTAACTTTTTGCTCCTCTTCATCCATTCTCTTCTCTTTTTTTTTTCTCACTCATTTTCTATTAATATATAAAAGGTTACATCTAACTGAATGAAAAATTTGTTCAATTTATTGACGAATTTATCAACTAAAAAATTTGTTAAAAAGTCAAAATTATAATTGATCGACAAAATTCACTAATAAAATATACCATTGAATACTTTATTGATGAAAGTATTATAATTTACTAATATATATATAACCGGCAGGTTTTAATGATAAATTTATTATTAATTTAAATTATAAAATTTGTTTATAAAATTTGTCAATAGAATTATTTTTATTAATAATTATAAAAAAATAGTGAAAACTACTAAATTATTAATTTGAAGATTAATTAATCATTTTTATAATTTTTTAAAGAGTTTTTTATAGGGTTTTTTCTATTTTTTTTAGATTGAAATTAGTTTACTTATAAATTAACTCTTTTCAAATCTTCAAAAAATAAATTTAATCCTTAATTAATATATCCCGAAGTTGACAGTCTTATCCTAAGTTGTTAATGATTTCAATTTTAGCTAGGGATAATGATGGTGGCTAGATACTCCATCCATTCCTCTTATATAAATAGTTATATATGAAATATATTGGAAAACCAATTAAAAGTGATTTATTAAATTATTTTTAGTATGTGTAGGATCTTTTAGATAATTCTATTTCATAATGGATAAATAAAAAATATAATAAGACGACCTTACTTGTTTATAAATAAAATAGATCTTAAATCATACTCTTCTTCTTACAATTTATTTATTTATTTATTTATTTATATATATATATATATATATATGGAGTTTGTTAAAGTTTTTTTTTCCAGTTAATATGCAAAGTTACCGAATATTAGTAGACAAAAATACTTTTATATATTACGAATTATAAGTTTTAGCGACACCCTAATTTGTTGTTTTTGCTATGTTCGTTCATTTGTTTTCAACTTTAACAAAATAATTGATGATGTTGATGTTGATTTTTAATGGGAGGGATGTGTTATATTTTTTCTTCCCTTCTGATTGTTATTAAATTTGTAAAAAACTAAAGTCTACAATAATTTTAAAACTAAAAAAAAACAAGAAATCCCCCACCAAATGACGTTAAACCCATAATAGTTGCAAAACATTTAGTTTGTCAATACCAACTTTGATAAAATCATAGAAATGAAAGGAGTAGAAGTTAAACTATGAGTATGATGGTAACAAATCTATTAAGTTTAAAATCCAATTTAAAATTTAATGCGTTTTGTTTTTCTTAATTTCACTTCTGTGGCAAATGATAAATCAGAATCACAACATCATGTTTATATTGACCAAACAAGTTCAAGATGTGAATTGTTCAAAATAAACTTACATGATGTGATTTACTTTGGAAAGTAATTTTTTGGTCCAACTGAGAGCTTACAAGTTTATTATGACTAGTTTACTAATCTCTGATTGATTTTTAATTAACTCATATATCAATGCAGTTCTTCTTGAAAACTACTCAATATTATGCAATTTGCTTAAATCTAGAATATGTGTAATTTGTTAGAATATTTTTATTCTTTTTACAAAAATGAAATGAAAATATGATTATCAATATGAAACATTCGAAAGGGAACGAGTAGTGATCTCTTTTCTGAATAAGGGGAAAGAGTCAACAACAACAATTTTTTATGTTCATAACTCTCTTGAATAATTTTTTCTTGTTAAATCATTTAGTACCATGACCAGGAGCTTCATTTTTTTTGTTGTGTTTTGACGTTGGTTCTATGTAGAAAGGTGAAAACTATATTCTCAAATATTATTTAAGCGAAAAAAATGTTTTTAGAATTATTTTTAAGAGTTGACTTTAAAAATCCATTTTCTGGACAATGACTTACCCCTTCCGGAATCCCCTTTCCACATAACGATTTTTCTCTTCTGGAAAATATTTACAGATAACTTAATAGTCAAAATATCAAATCTTTATGAAAATAAACTACTAATTCTAAAATTTTAAATCAAAATTTAATAACAATCAAAAGGGAAAAGATATAACACAACCCTCCAATCAAAAATAAACATTAACATCATCAATTATTTTGTTATTAAAGTGGAAAACAAATGAACAAACAGAGCAAGAGCAACAAATTGCGGTATCATAGGTTATTGTGTGTGGGTGAGAGAGAAGACAGAGATGAGAAAAAAACAAATTGGATAACTGGGGAAGATGGATTAAGATTAGATGAGTGTTTCTGGTTTTTAGGGATGAAAAAAATAATGTTAGAGTGAGAGAGATGAAAGATAAAGAATTGAGAGGAACGAGGGATTAGAGTGGGGTGAATAAGGGTTTGAGAATTTTTTATTTTTTTTTAGTTTTGAGAATGAAAATTATTAAAATACCCTTGATCTTAAAACTTAGAATCCATAATATATAAATGTATTTTTGTCTAGTAAAACTCGATATACTTTGCTAAAATGTACCAATTAACAAAAGAACATACTTATGTTAGCAAACCCTTGTATATATATATATATATATATATAAGATTACATGGTTGAAGTGGGAAATTCTCCGTCATTTATACAAATTAAATATGTCCAAATATTAGTTTTTTTTTACAATTATATATTAAAAAATATAAATTTGATGCGTGGTAATTAAAATATAAATATATTAAAGAATAACTTCATTTGTCCATAATATGATTTGTGGTTGAAATATATGTTTTCACGTGGGAATAGTAGTTAGGTGGGTAAAGATCATCTATGGGACGTCTTGACGTCTTGATTGAATGATGAGTTGCTCCAAAGACTTTGAATACACTGAAGCACCTTGTTCACGACATAACTATACTCATAATATTCGAACCAATCTGTTGCTTACGTATGTTTCGCTGATGTTAACAACTCATCATGCGTGACACGTTTTACAACTTTAAGGAAATATTTTCTGGCCACTATACAATGTGATAAAAGAGAATCGACACATGTTTTTACACAATTGAAGTGTGAAAAATGGCATTAACCCAAATACGAAAAGAGTTATCTTTTCTTAGGATTGAGTTTCTTGATCCATTTAGAAAACAACTTTTGAGTTGTGAAAATACAATTAAAATCATGAGGTTTGAAGAAATAAGAGGTCAAGTTTTGTGCACGTATATGCTTTGATCATATGGTGGATATTTATTTTGTACACATCATTGATATGGAGACTGCAACAATATACATGAATGAACAGAGAGAGAGAGGCAGATGTGAGATGCAAAACATAAAAAAGTAATGATATGGCAATATATATTTATATTTATTTAACATATATTACAAAAATAAAATAATTGTAAGAAAAGTAAATTTTTACATTTTAAGAAAGAATAAAAAATTTTTAAAAAAAATATCATATAAAAAATTATGTATATTAAATAACAATGACAGATAGATTTTATTAGACTATCAAACTAGACTCCGTCAAAAGTCACATCAAGTCAGTAAAATTTAACCTTAATTTTTTAATAGTTTACTTACGAATTTGTTTTTGATACTATTTTAAAAGATCTCATATCAAGAGATATCTTGTTTATATAAACTTATGTTTATTTTTTATTTTATTTAACGTGGGATTTTATCTATACGTAAGCTTTCATGAGTGACGTGTGAAAATCTATGTTTCTGTTGCTCCACTGCAGAACAATAGCCCTCCTACTTCAATTCATGTAGATAAGGTTTCCCGGTTTAACCAAGTAACAATTTCTTAATTAATCTCATTATCAGTCATTGCTATGGTTAACCAATATATAACTCAAGTTATAAACATTTAATCAAATTATCTATTCAGATAGTTAATAAGCATAGGGCTATAGAAATATACGTGTATATACTTTATTTTATATGAATTTTAAT